TTTTGTGTTTCTTTTTTTTTTTTTTTTCTGGACAGAGGTCTCACTTGGTGCCCCGGCTAGAGTGAGTGGCAGGCATCAGCTTGGCTCACAGCAACCTCAAACTCCTGGGCTCAAGCAATCTCTGCCTAAGCCTCCCAGTAGCTGGGACTACAGGCATGTGCCACCGATGCCCGGCTAATTTTTCTATATATGTATTAGTTGGCGCAATTAATTTCTTTCTAATATAGATTTCTATGATAGTTTTGCTTGAGCCCAGGAGTTTGAGGTTGCTGTGAGCTAGGCTGACGCCACGGCACTCACTCTAGCCTAGGCAACAAAGCGAGACTCTGTCTCAAAAAAAAAAAGAGAAATAAAGAACAGATAAAAGGCATGGAATGGTGAAGACAGAAGTAGCAGCCAGTCAATTATTTATTTACATTTTGCCCTGGTAAGAATAAAGCATATTCTATTTAAAAGTTCTATAATAAATTTAAGCAGATAAAATGGTGGCTAGAGCATGGTATTATAGAAAGAATACAGGTTTCGGAGTCAGAAGACTTGAGTTTAAATATAGACGCCAACACTTCCTAACTATCTAAACTTACTTGCTTTATTTAAGTCAACTTTTCCCAGGAGACTAAGCTCTATAATGACAGGAACCATGTCTCTTTTGTTGACTGTGGTAAACCTAGCATCTAGTACAATGTGTGGTAAATAGTGAGGACTTTAGTAAATATCTGTAGAATAAATGAATGAATAATTTTACACAAGTTTCTCCACTTCTACTTATTATGTAAATAAATATAATAAAATTTATATTATTTCATAAAAAAACTCTGTAAGGTACGTAAAGTATCCAGCAGAGCAACTTCTTTTTTTCATCAAATAATTAACTTGGTACCAGCACCCTCTAGGTGATTTACAATAGCAGATAATCAAAAAAATAACCCATTAATATGTTTTTGTTTTTTGAGTCAGGGTATCAATCTTGTACCTGCGCTCTAGACTTCAGTGGCCTCATTTTAGCTCACTGCAGCCTCAAACTCCTGGGCTCAAGTGCTTCAGCCTCCCGAGTAACTAGGACTACAAGGCATGAGCCACCATGGCCACCTAACTTTTCTATTTTTTGTAGAGACAGTCTTGCTTTTGCTCAGGTTGTCTTCAAACTCCTGGGCTCAACTAATCCTTCTGCCTTGGCCTCCAAAAGTGCTGGGATTACAGGTGTGAGCCACCATGCTCAGCCCCATTAACGTTTTAAAAAAATCATTACTCCTTCTTTGATACTTCATATTCATATGGATTATAATATGGATTATAACACTGTTTGCATGTGTTTATGGCTGCTTTGAAGGCTTTTCCACTTTTAGTTCCTATCATGAGGTGCTATGAAAATTAAATAAGATAATACAGGCAAATTACTTACCAATGTGATTAACACATGGTTAGAACTCAATAAATGTTAGTAAGCTTTTATTGTTCTTATAAGTTTAAATGGTATCTGGTGTCTTAACTGTCTAATAACACTTAAGACTCAAATGCTTTTTGGTATAAATCAGACTGATTATTATAGCTGCAGAGAGATTAGCTATGGAGCTAATCCAGAAGAGTTTACCTAAAATGACACTTCCCAGTTCTAATGGTTACCACAGCATCTTTCTATTGAACCCAAAACTGCCTTATAATTTCAAATGAGAGGCCATAACTTAATAGGGAAAAAACAGCCTCACCTATACTTTCCCTTCTTCTTCTTCTTCTTCTTCTTTTTTTTAAAAAAGGGGATATTAGGCCGGGCGCGGTGGCTCACGCCTGTAATCCTAGCACTCTGGGAGGCCGAGGCGGGCGGATTGCTCAAGGTCAGGAGTTCAAAACCAGCCTGAGCGAGACCCCGTCTCTACCATAAAAATAGAAAGAAATTAATTGGCCAACTAATATATATATATAAAAATCAGCCGGGCATGGTGGCTTGTGCCTGTAGTCCCAGCTACTCGGGAGGCTGAGGCAGAAGGATCGCTTGAGCCCAGGAGTTTGAGGTTGCTGTGAGCTAGGCTGACGCCACGGCACTCACTCTAGCCTAGGCAAGAAAGCGAGACTCTGTCTCAAAAAAAAAAAAAAAAAAAAAAGGGGATATTAGTACAGACTAGGCATTAGAATTTTGACAACTAAGAAAGAAGAAAGGTTTGCTCCCTTTTTCTTCTCTACTGGCATTTAAAATTGTTTTTTAAAAATTAGTGTGTTTTAAAGGTATATTAAAGAATCTTTGCCCAGGTTCTATGTTGTCCAGGTTCTATGTTGCCCAGGTTGGAGTACAGTGGCGAAAAACAGCCTCGAACTCCTGGCCTCAAGTGATCCTCCTGTCTTAGCCTCTCAAATAGCTAGGACCACAGGCATGTGCCACCGTCCCCTGCTAGATATGCTTGTCATGCTTTTAAATGGTCATTCTGTCTGGAAAAAACAGCTAAGTAAAATCTCAATAGTTATTTGGAATTGTTCTCTTCAGAAAACAGATTGCTGAAAATATTTACTTTTGCACAAACGACAGTCAAAGTGGCCAGCTCTGGACATCGGACTCTATAAGCAAACGATTAGCTAGAAAAAGAATCCTCTGGATATATACGTTGACTTGGGAAGGGATTTCGTAAATCACAGTATGATTTCTGCTAGCAAACAGGGTAAGATTCAGATGAAAATAATTTAAAATGTATTACTTACTTTTGCAAATAATTCTTGTTGCTGCCTCAATAATTCTTCTTCAGGAATGCCAAGGTTTTCCAAACGAGAACTGGCCTTTCTTCTTTTCAATGCTACCGTCTTGCATTCTTGTAAGACTTCTTTTACTTCACTGATGTACGAGCCAAAGCCCAAACTTTCTAGTGCTAGAGAAATGAAAATACGAAAGAGTGATAAAATACAGCTTTCCCCCATCTATAGCACATGAAGTTTTCATGGGTATTTCTTTAAGGGAGGGAAATGTTTTTGCTGTTTTCCAATAATTTTACCTATTTTATAGCTGTACAATTGGGTGGCTAAGATAATTTTATCATTTTGCTTACTATTCGAATGCAAGTCAGTTAAAACTTAAGTTACATTTCCTGGCATATGCCTTCACTTTTCCTTTTCTTCCTAATTTTTAAAAGACCAAAGCATTTCCTGTGAGGAAAAAAAAAAAGTCCAATGTAAGAACATGTGGTTTTAGTAAGAAAAACATTTTTCCTATACCACTCATAGTAAATCAAATATCGTGAAGTCAGTCACTTTCTCAAAGAACACAAAAAAGACAAATATTTGAAATATATTTGTAAATAACATATTTTGTAATTAGACTGATTACACATTCTCTACTAAGTTTTTGTTTTGTTTTGTTTTTTGTTTTTGAGACAGAGTCTTGCTTTTGTTGCCCACGCTAGAGTGAGTGCCGTGGCGTCAGCCTACCTCACAGCAACTTCAAACTCCTGGGCTCAAGCAATCCTTCTGCCTCAGCCTCCTGAGTAGCAGAGACTACAGGCATGTGCCACCATGCATGGCTAATTTTTTTCTATATATATTAGTTGGCCAATTAATTTATTTCCATTTATAGTAGAGACGGGGTCTCGCTCTTGCTCAGACTGGTTTCGAACTCCTGACTTCGAGCAACCAGCCCGCCTCAGCCTCCCAGAGTGCTAGGATTACAGGCGTGAATCACCGCGCCTGGCCTCTACTAAGTTTTAATAGGATAGGATGAAAGACCAGTTAAGTTTTCTTTTGTCTAATATGCCAACAGGAAGCTATTTTTAGCTTCAAACTACCAAGTTTAAGAAATACCAGTGGAAATAATTCATGAAATTCAGCATTACTAGTTAGACAACAGGTTTCTCTTGAAAATAAAACTTAACAGGAAGTATTATAAAAACATTTTCAAGTGATGTTGCAGAGAAACTGGGATAAAAAAAGATACAAGGATAGAAGCATGAAAAATTCTCTTTATTTTTTTCACATTTAGAAAATTTTACAAAGAAAACAATGCACACTCTAAATGCCTTCTGTAATCCAAAAAAGATAAGAAATAAAATTTCCTTTGGGCTCATTGCATTTAAAATTGTATTTTAGGGTAGGTGCAGTGGCTCACACATGTAATCCCAGCACTTTGGGAGGCGGAGGCAGGAGGACTGCTTGAGGCCAGGAGTTTGAGACCAGCTTGGGTAACACAGGAGACCCTGTCTCTACAAAAAAAAACTTAAGGGCCGGGCGCGGTGGCTCATGCCTGTAATCCTAGCTCTCTGGGAGGCCGAGGCGGGCGGATTGCTCAAGGTCAGGAGTTCAAAACCAGCCTGAGCAAGAGCGAGACCCCCGTCTCTACTATAAATAGAAAGAAATTAATTGGCCTATATATATATATAAAATTAGCCGGGCATGGTGGTGCATGCCTGTAGTCCCAGCTACTTGGGAGGCTGAGGCAGAAGGATTGCTTGAGCCCAGGAGATTGAGGTTGCTGTGAGCTAGGCTGACGTCACGGCAGTCACTCTAGCCTGGGCAACAAGCGAGACTCTGTCTCAAAAAAAAAAAAAACAACTTAAAAAATTAGCCAGGTGTAATGGCCTGCACCTGTAGTCCTAGCTACTTGAGAGGCTGAGGCAGGAGGACCGCTTGAGCCAGGAGTAAGGCTACGGTGAGCTATGATTGTGCTACTGCACTCCAACATGGGCAACAGAGCAAGACTCTGTCTAAAAAAAAATACAAAACCAAAAACCAATTAAATATACACATATAGTTTTCTACATATTGACTAATGTCCCAAAGGTATATTGTGTTTGTTGATCCTCAAAATTGATCTTCCTGTCTTGGCCTCCCAAAGTGCTGGTATTATAGGCGCGAGCCACTGTGCCCAGCCCAGAAGACATATTTTGTATTCTGAACCAATGATGAAATATAGGTGGTGAAGAACACAGTAAATCAATTTTTCTCATCAGTTCTCTCTTTCAACAATTATGGTGAACCAGACTGCTTTCAGTAAAGATGCTCTCAAATCTAACTTCCGAGATTTTACCAAATATATTTTTACAAATCCACTATGCAAACTATGTAAATTGTGGTTTGTAAGACATTTTGAATTGATTTACAACTTTAATTATTTATTTATAAGCTGTTTTCATCAACCTTCTTTAGAAATAATCTGATGCCAAAAGCAGAGTATTATATTATTTGAATTTTAATTAAGTTAAACTTGTCTCCTCCCCTACCCTCTAATTCTCTAAAAACCTTAGAAAGGCATTATTCTGAGTTCTGTATATCAAATTCATCACCATATAATTGTGATTTCAAGGAGCTTGAAGTATAGTGGAAAAATAAGTGAAAACTTAGGTAGCCTGTATTTTTCACTTGAATTAACAGACTGACTTTTGTATGTGTCAATGATAAAGTTTTTGTATTATCTTTTCTCTTTTTAAAGGCACAGAGTATTTCAATGAGAATAGCTAGAGATAATACCAGAAGAAGCCAAGTGAGTGGTTTACGGTTTCCTATCATATTCTAAAGTCTGATTTCCTTAGTCTTATGCTAAGGTTCTCCAAGATCTAGCTCCTCCTACTCTTCCACCTTTACTTCTTTTTATTTTATTATTATTATTATTGAGACAGAGTCTCACTTTGTTGCCCAGGCTAGAGTGAGTGCCGTGGCGTCAGCCTAGTTCACAGCAACCTCAAACTCTTGGGCTCAAGCAATCCTACTGCCTCAGCCTCCCGAGTAGCTGGGACTACAGGCATGCACCACCATGCCCGGCTAAGTTTTTCTATATATATATATCAGTTGGCCAATTAATTTCTTTCTATTTATAGTAGAGACGGGGTCTCGCTCTTGCTCAGGCTGGTTTTGAACCCCTGACCTCAAGCAATCCACCCGCCTCAGCCTCCCAGAGTACTAGGATTCCACCTTTACTTCTGCCATTAAATCCCTGTATATTTCTGCTAAATCTGACTGCTCAATGTTTCCCAACAAGAACCACAGTTTCCCATATTCATGCTGACAGCAATGAACTCTTGGCACTGATCAAACCCCATCTTCAAATTAAGTTTGCCTGACCCTCTTAGACAGATATAATCTCACCCTTTTGAGGTCAAATAGACCTTAGAACTGAAACTTGATTGACACAGTATTTGTATAACCTTGGATCTGTTGTTTAATATCACTAAGCTTCAATTTTTCCATCTATAAAATGAGAATAGCATTTATTTATTAATATCAGCCTATAATCAGGGTCAGTTAGTTAAGCATGCAGGCCCTAAAGCCAAACTGCCAGGGACTGACTGCCAACTCTGCCTCCAATAAGCTGTGTGACCCTAGATAAGTTCCTTTTCCTCTATGCCTCACAGTTTTCTCTCCTCTAAAAAAGAATAACAACAGTACCTACATCTCATTGGATCACGTTGTTGTGAAGAATAAGTACATTACTATAAATAAAGAGTTTAGAACAGAGGCTGACCCACAGAGGGAGCAAAATAAAATAAATGTTTGCTATTATATTATTAGTTTTAGGGTTGTAGGAGTAAACAAGTAATTAATACGAGGCATTTAACACAGTGTCTAGCACATAACAATCATTTAATGGACTCAGATTATGTATTACTCAGCCTTATTTTTTTCTCTTATATTTAAAAGAATCCCCTAGATAAGTATACAGAACATAAATAAATGTATAGCTGTATATTAATACATTTAAATTCAAGTTGAAGCAAGTATATTTATAATATTAAATTTATAAAATTAACAAATCAACACAATGGAAAGACAACCTTTAAACGGTATGAATTAATAGGCTCGACATTAAGAAAATTCAATCCAAGCTACCATTAACCATGAAGAGCTTGGGTTAAAAAATTTAAAAAAATATATAAAACTTACCTTTAAAAACATTTAAAGCTAAGAACACTGTTTCCCAAAAAATTTGCAAGCAGGTCCAAGGTTAATATTTAATGTTATTCAAAGAGTTCCTATATATAAATACTGTATTCTTGATAACATAGTTCAATAGGAACAGTCATAAATTTAACAACAAAACTTGCATTGACTTTAACCTAACTTTTAAATAAATTTTGGCTAATAGGTATCAATAACTGGACATGGTATCTTCTACACAGAAAGACAATTTTATATCATGTCACCATGTAGGAGTAGTCATTTCCATTTTACACAAAGGAAACTATTGAAGGATAAGGGAAATGGCTTCCTAAGCAGGGCTACCATTTACAGTTGTGCAAGCAACAAACAGTATCAGGTGGCCATTCATACTGTAACATAGATTTGTATGTTTACTATGATACTTTTTCTGGTAGTTGACAGTAATGGTTTTTTGTTTTTGTTTCTTTTTCAAGACAGGGTCTCACTCTGTTGCCCCAGTTTGAGTATAGCACTGATGATCATAGCTCACTACAATCTCAAACTTCTGTGCTCAAGCAATCCTCCTGCCTCAGCCTCCTGAGTATCTGGGACCACTGATGTGTGCCAACACGCCTGGCTAATTTTTGTATTTTTTGTAAAGATAAGGTCTCCCTCTTGCTCAGGCTGGTCTCCTGACCTCAAGCAATCTTCCTGCCTAGGCCTCCCAAAGTGCTAGGATTACAGGCTTGGGCCACTGTACCCAGCCCGTATTAATGGTTTTTAAGGAAGGAGTGCCTATTTCTAATCTGTACAAAGGGACCATAGGGATGATTGGTGGCCCTGCCTCTAAAGGATCTCATCAGAGCAAAAACCAAAAAAGAAAAATATCTTTTATTAAAAATCTGTGGGTAAAATCAACACAATCACTGTCTGCTATCCTCTGGCAGTTATCTTAAAGCTATACCCAGAAAAGTCCATGGTGTATATATTGGGGAAAAAAACACTTGGCACATCTTTCAACTTAAACAATAGATATTAACAAGACAGCTATGTAAAAAACAAGAAAGGGTAGAAACTTTCCCCAAGCAACAATAATCTTAATACAGGTTTATGTTATTTTCCAAAATGACATACTCCTGAAAAGTTGTTGTAGCATGAATTTGTATGAATCACTTTATATACTTTGAATGCATAAAGCATGCTTTTCATTAAAAAAATTATGTGAAATACAGAACCTATATAAAATACTATATAAATCAGCATTCTCTAATTTCTCAATTTTCTTTTTTGGGGAGGAATGTATTTCACTTAAAATACATTAAGTGAAAAAATGTTATTTCACTTAAAATACATTACAAGGAGGTAACAAAAGTGACTTCTTGGCTCATTAGCCTGGCAAAAGTTTCTGAAGACCCATAAGAACCATATCTTCCTCCACAGTACCACTACTCCTGGGAATCTTGGTCAATGAGAGACCAATGGCAGAGAAGGAACTGAATGTCATTCATCTTTATATTCTTAGCAGTATCTAGCACAATGCCAAGTACTTAGCAGTTTTCTTTCTTTCTTTTTTTTTTTTTGAGACAGAATCTCACTCTGTTGCCTGGGCTAGAGTGCTGTGGCGTTAGCCTAGCTTACAGCAACCTCAAACTCCTGGGCTTGAGTGATCCTTCTGCCTCAGCTTCCTGAGTAGCTGGGACTACAGGCATGTGCCACCATGCCCAGCTAATTTTTTTCTATATTTTTTTTTGGTTAGCCAATTAATTTCTTTCTATTTATAGTAGAGACAGGGTCTCGCTCAGGCTGGTTTGGAACTCCTGACCTTGAGCAATCCACCCGCCTCGGCCTCCCAGAGTGCTAGGATTACAGGTGTGAGCCACCATGCCCAGCCCTTAGCAGTTTTCAATAAGTAATTATTCGGTAGCAAAAGGAAAACAAAAATAAAAAATATATAAATTTTAAAGAAAATAATAATAAAATCCTAATTTGAAAAGTACCTGATTATGTGATAAATTGTGTAATGTAAATTACATGTCTCCCCCCCTTTGGAAAAAATATTTGTATTAATGATTCAGGCAACATAATATATTATTCTCATTCATTCCCCTTATCATTACAACTTCTCTACAATACTCAGATCCTATGATTTCAAAACTACTTCACATACACGTTCCAAAGCTACTCAAAGTGTGGTCCATGGACTTGTGCCAGAATTGCTCCTAATGGCTGCAATGAGTTAAGTAAGGAAATTCAAAGAAAGCATTTGAGAACCTTTATAGCAACCTGACACAGTAATTTTATGTCTACTGAATCTAATAATGAAAAAAATAGTTTTAATTTTTTTTTCATTTCATTTTTCTAGTGGTCCATTTTTATGGCATTTTACAAACATACCAGTGTGAGAAGGACTGGAATTAAAAAATGTCCTTCAACACAGACAGCTTAGAGCAACTCAATGGCTGAAGAACAAATTCTCAGAGACATTTTCAAACTTTTACTACTTTCAGTTACTATTCTCATAAAAGTAGGAAATAATGTAGCAAGAGACTGAAAATACAGGAAGAAAATAATATTTAAAATATTCTTATTCATATTTTACCTTTGCAAATGACATCATGATATAAACAAAACAGGCCTTTAGCTTCATATTTTAATCAGTACCACTACAAATTGTTTAAATTATTTATTGTAGCTTAATTAATGTAAGGTTATCAACCCCTGACTGGTTCTCTCAATAATTTCAAGTTATACCTGAAATCAAGTTTTATATATAAATGGGAAAACCTTAGTTAACAGATCTGCCTAAAGCCACAAAATTTCCAGTGTACAACTTACAGCTCTTGATTCTCAATGTCAATTCTTTCCATAATGCAACAGAACATGGCAGAATTCATTCAAGAATGTGTTCACAAAAACAGCAATGAAATAAAAGGAACACCTTTTATAGCTTAGAATTCCCTCTATTCATTTATTTGTGATCTGCAATAAATAACAAGTTTACCTTGTTAAACTTGTTTCAAAACTACTTCACATACACTTAAATTTAAAATAAGCAAAACAGAAACAAAAAGGGTTTTTTTTTACCTAGTTTATATTTCACAGACTTACTGATGATAAAATTATTTCAACCTTAACTTGCATTTTATAGAACTGCCTGAGAATACTTAATTTGTCCTGACAAGAGAAGGCAAGCTGGCAAACGAACAAATGAAACGTCCTGAAACAAAATCTCGTTCATTAAATTATTACTAAAAGCCCAAACTTCAATATGTGAGAATCATAATATTTTAAAATGTTCATTATTATTCCACTTGGATATATACCCTACATTTCTAAATAATCAATGCTGATAGTAAAGTATAAAAAAAATCATACCTACCATGAATTAATCTGTTAGAATCCACTTTAAACATCTAAAACATATACCTTAAGCTTTTTTTTTTTTTTGAGACAGAGTCTCACTTTGTTGCCCAGGCTAGAGTGAGTGCCGTGGCGTCAGCCTAGCTCACAGCAACCTCAAACTCCTGGCTCAAGCAATCCTCCTGCCTCAGCCTCCCAAGTAGCTGGGACTACAGGCATTCGCCACCATGCCCAGCTAATTTTTTGTATATATATGTTAGTTGGCCAATTAATTTCTTTCTATTTATAGTAGAGACAGGGTCTCGCTCTTGCTCAGGCTGGTTTCGAACTCCTGACCTCGAGCAATCCGCCCGCCTCCGCCTCCCAGAGAGCTAGGATTACAGGCGTGAGCCACCGCGCCCGGCCTAAGCATTTTTTAATTTTAACCTCTGAAACAAAACTTCCTTGAAATAATTAAGCAATATGAGATTCCACAAATGCATAAAATCTCCCCCAACTAGGGAGAATTCTTGGGCAAAAATGCAGATTCTTATCCACTTAATAACAGCAATGTTACAAGGAAAAAAGGTACATTTACAACCTTCCAAGGTTCAACACATGATTTTTTAAAATTAATAAATCCTCCTTATTACACAGTGGAAAAGCCCTTTCACTGTAACTTTCTGACTCATACATTAAACTCAATTTAGCATATTCCAAAGTTGAACTATTTAGCATACTGCTTGCTACAGCTGCACTTCTATTCCATCATGTCAATCAGAAATCTAAATATATCCTAGAAAAGAATAAACTCTCCCCAAGAAGACAGACTGTAATATGTTATTAGATTTTTGGAATGATCCCCACTTGTGTGGAGTAAACAAATGTTTAGGCAGATCCCTGTTGAAATCTTTTACAATTTTCATTAGAAAGGCAATGTTGATAAAAGGTTCTTTTTCCTTTTTATGAGTTGTAAAAGGAAATTACAGCTATCTATGTTGGATAATCTTGTGAAAGACTTTGACAGCAATCACACATACAATGTAAAAATAAAAACACTACAGGAAAAATAGACAACTTGGCTTTCATTTTACTTGCTAAGACTATAAATACTAGCTTTAAGAATCAAATACACTTTTTCCTGGGGATTTCTCACCTTATGTACTGAAATGGTAAGGTATATTTTAAATCCATCTTTAGAACACTATAAAGGATAAAAAATGAATCATTCAGTCCTTTTGTCAATACTGACAGTAAAATATTGGATGTGGTCAATATGAGCAGATGTGTTCTCTACTTCAGAATAATAAGAAAGACACTTCTTAAAAAGTTAAATGGTAGACAACTGCCTACCAAAATGATTAAAATTAACCATCTTTTCTGACCTCAAAAGCAATCAAGAAATTGTTAGAATTGTAATTGGATTATTACAAAAGGCAAGTTATCACCTCAAATTGAATGCAACTCTTTTATAAGAGCACACATAAAAATCACAGAAGATACTTCCCAAAACATTATAACCAGTAAATATGTCTCCCCTTTCTAAAATCATCAGAATAAGTCCCCCAAATCCCTACTCCTGGAGTAACTACTTTCAAAGATAACAGAAACTGTTGAAACTTTCAGAAGTGTTGTTCAATAAAAGCTTAAGTGTATACATCCAAATGGAAATAGCAGCAAGAATGGACAGGGAAATGTTCCATTAAAAAAAAGTATATAACCTTTCAACCCAAGCTTTTAAAACATATCTCCACAGAACAAAGCAAACAACATAAAAAAAGAAAAGAAATTAAAGAACACTCTTTTCGTACTGATTGGAACAGGTGTGCTTTGGTAACCTGTTGATAAAGTACCACCATCAAACCAGTTTTAAAGCAGAAAATATACTCTTTTAATTCAACACCAATAAACTTTACAACGTTGAACACATTCATGTTAAGAATTCTTTAATCCATGTGTTCAGAAAATAAATCTTTTCTCTACATTGGAGAAAAGGTCAAGTGGAGAAGGAGTGCTGTCTCCACTCATTCTTGAAGTTCCTCCGTCTGAATGTTAACTTTCCAAGGGAGAACTGCTGGGTTTCTTTTTCAGTTGTCAGTACCTAAGTTCAACTTTAGGCAGGCAATTCTTGTTGCTTCAACTTACCTGGTTGTAAATTGAGGCCACTATTAATTTAATACTTTATGTTTAGGGGATGTTATTTGTCCCAAATGTTTGCACTTCTTACTTTTATTCGCTGGATGAAAAGTACCTCAAGAACGTTACACAGGGATTTTTTTTAGGCATTGGCTGCCTTCATGTTCCAGTGGTTTTTTCATTAACAGTGAAGAGGAATGAAGGCTTTGACAAGAATGGGTCACGCGACTAGCAGACTGTCCCCCTGGACCCTTATCTAAACCAAATCCTACACATGCCTTACCTTGAATGACATGCTCTGGTGAGATGGTCTTCTTTTCGGATTTGTTGCAAATCTCATTGGCTTCAGAAGATATAAGGTGAATGAATTCAGTGCAGCAGTTCACCACCAGCTCTCGGGCATCGTTGGCCACCCGGACATTGGGGAGAGTCTCTTTGATCATTTTATTGATAGCAGCTCTGGGGATAGTGAGATCATCATCGTTGCCAGACGAGGAAGCCATAGTACCTTCCTGTCTCTCGTGCCCCGACTTTTAAAAACTCCCCGGCTCTGGTCCACTACTCCACGGAGATTTCTCAAAAGGCTGCACTAGGATGATCGGGGGCGGGCGGGCGAGGGGTAGGGGTTGCACTGAAAAGAGGGAGCAGAAATTGAAGGGGGAGGAGCGGGCTCGAGAGCGGGGAACACCCGAGTGTGTGAGAGATTTAGGGCAAGTTTGAGAGGAAATTCGGGGGCCTGAGGATTCTGGGGAGAGCACTGCCAAGGTTGGGGAAGGGAAAGCAAAGTGGTCCAGAAATTTGAGCGTCTGGAAAACCACCTTCTTGCCTCCTCAGAGAAGCAGGCGCTGTCGCCTAACTGGTCCCCAAAGGCGCTGGAGAAGAGGGAAGATCTAAGGGCACCGGCCTAGCCGCAGTACAGGACGGACACCCAGCGGGCTCGGCTCTACAGAGCCGGAGCCCCAGCTGCCGCCGCCTCCAGCAGCCGTCGCCGTCTCCTCGGCCAAACCATCCTTCAGACACCGCGCCGCCGCCTCACAACATGTCGGCCGCGGCCGCTGCTGGAACCGCAGCCGCCGCCTGGGAACGAATATGGACAGAGCCAGGCACAGTGGGAGTCGCAGCGGAGGTCGCCGTGACCGTTCACTCGAACGCAGATCTTGGAAGTCGAAGCGGCGGCAACGGTGGTCCCTCCAGAAGCCAGGAAAGGTTTTCTGGAAGCCGCTCCCGACACCCTTTGCGCCACCGGAAACCTCGTCTCCCCATGTTCCCCCCCACCCTTCCAGGCCGACTTCCGGGTGTGGCTACTGCCACCCTCCCCCCACCCACGCCGGCAGGAACCGCCCGTTTTTCGGTGCCAGCAGCTTCCGCTTGCTGTTGTGGCGGCACGCGCCTCGGGATCCCTTCCTTTCATAGGGGCACTAACCGGACAAGGGCGCGCCTCGCGGTACCGGAGAGCCCCAGGCACGCTCTTGCTCTAGGGCTGGAGCCTCAGAACCGGGAAAGGAGAGGGTGGGTAGACAGGCGAGGTTGAGTTGTGTCTACCCTCCTTTAACCAACTGAGGCCGCGAAACCCTCTCCTACCCGGTCAGGGGACAAAGGAGCGCTGGTTATTGTTTAAAAAGCAGCTCTCATTGCTGTTCCTTGAGAAGCCCGAATTGGGGTTGAAAGTGAGAGGAACAGGGCCTGGGCTCAGGAGTGGAAGGTGAGGAAAGCAGAACCCCGTGTCCGTGTATCTACGACGTCTGGAGAAAAAGCTTTTGAAGATACCTAATAGACCTTATTTGAATCAAAGCTCTCTATGGTCCTCCACGTGTTTTCTCGTTTATGGGAAATGAAATATTCAGAGAAGTGACTTGCTTGGTCACTACAAATGGCTAAACTGGAAACGAGAAGTCACATCCATGCTTAGCATGCCATGAACTCAGTTGCAAGGTTTCAGTTTAGCCAGTTTTCATGGTGTATCGCATGTTGGCTTCCGGAGGGGGAAAATATGTTAAGAGTTTCTTAAGCAACTCTGCTATTTGCTCCTTTCCAGAGTGACTGGTAATAGCAACGAGCATCAAGTTCTTCACAGAATTTGCATTTTTAAGAAGCTAAGTTTGTTATACTGCCGTGTGGAAGAAGAGACTACATTATTAAATAGTGGGATGTTGGGATTTCTAAAAAGTGAATGAATACGATTTAAATCCGTTTTGGCACTTAGGTTCATCAGATTCATTGCTCATAACTGGCTTGTTTGAAATGTTTTCTTAAAACATCCAGTCTAACCCCCTAAATGTGTGGCTCTATAGGAAACATTACAGTTTATTACACTGTTTTTTCATTTAGCATTTTCTCTAAGATTCCTGCTGGTTCTTTAATTTCTGAAGTGTAGATACTTGGTTTTCAGTGCTACTAAGTTTAGTCAAAACAAAATTTCTTTGATAAAAACAGTATTTAAAAATTTTCTTCAGAACAGGAATATGAACTGTTGGCTCAGATGTACCACCTTTGTGAAATTTAGTTTAAGTCAGTTTGCTGTTGGATTAGAGATAGATTGTATTTTCTAAATTTATCTTGGCCTTATCTTGGTTTATCAATCTGAAAAAGCTTGCTAGCAAAAGATGTCCTCAGAGTTGTCATGTCACTGACCCATATCTTGTCACCCCTGAAAAGAAGTAATAATAATTTTGCTTTTTCCAATAACATTTATGATTTGTAAACATATGCTAAATAGATCAGTAGAGCATACATGTTATTCCAGTAATAGTTTATTATTACATTTGTCTGTGGTAGCATAAATATCATGGAATGTATAGTAAAGAGACCTATGTTCCAGTCCCATCTTTTTGTTACTTTATTTTTTTTTTTTAATTCCTCAGCCATTTTCCATCAGTATTTTTGTTACTTTAGACAAATCATTCTCCAAGCCTCATTTTTCTCAATTTAGAGATGGAAATACATAATGCAAAGGATTCAAAGGGAAATGAGATTGTGTGAAAGCACTTTTTATATTATGAAGTATTGTATAATGTTAGTGTTTATTGGCATCTTTATCAGGTCTGGGCAGTCTTAAACTAGTAATAAACTATATATAATATGGCTGAGAGATTTGATTAAATATAAATACCAGTGTGATATGTCATGAAATATGCTAATCAGTAGGCCATTTTAGCAATTTTTTGAGAATAGTGATAACATCGCCTTAGTAAGCTTTTAGAGAGAGTGCATATATATGAAAGATTTTGTTTTCATGTCCCAAAATTCATGATATGAAGAGAAACATAATAGAGCAGTGGGTTCCTTTTTTTAGGAGTTAGGCTAACTCTATAGTGGTAATCTTTTTTTTTTTTTTTTGAGACGGAGTCTTGCTTTGTTGCCTAGGCTAGAGTGAGTGCCGTGGCGTCAGCCTAGCTCACAGCAACCTCAAACTCCTGGGCTCAAGCAATCCTTCTGCCTCAGCCTCCCAAGTAGCTGGGACTACAGGCATGTGCCACCATGCCCGGCTAATTTTTTCTATATATATTAGTTGATCAATTAATTTCTTCCTATTTATAGTAGAGACGGGGTCTCGCTCTTGCTCAGGCTAGTTTCGAACTCCTGACCTTGAGCAATCCACCCTCCTAGACCTCCCAGAGAGCTAGGATTACAGGCGTGAGCCACCACGCCTGGCCTTATAGTGGTAATCTTAAAATGTGTTAATTTATATAGGTGCCCAGGCTTTCAGCTAAAATTACTGATAATACTATTAATAGATCTATAATATTTGTAATTTGAAACCTAACATTTAAAAAAGTAAACAATACTCTCCATTATGCTCCTTTATCCTTGCTAACATGCCAATTGCCATTTAGTGACAATTCAAATTAAAAAAAAAAACCTATTAGCACTGTGCTAAATTCTTTTACCTGTATTATTTCACTCACTCTTCAGAGCACCCTTGTTTGATAGGTACTGTTTTAATCTCCATTTTACAGATAATGAAAGAAACTTGGAAAGTTCAAAAAATTACCCAAAGGCAGTACAACAATCAGTATATGCTAGATTATGTTGCAATAATAAATAATCCCCAAATCTCAAAATGTTTGTTTCTTGTTCATGCCATGGGTTTATGTGAAGCAACAGGGCTTTACACAGAGTAATCAAGAATGGATTAGATAATCTGTCACGGGATTAGTTTTTTAAAAATCCATTAGAGCTATTGGGAAGAAGTAATAAAGGACTTTGAAATACAGGTGGTTGACAGGTAGAGTGAAAGGAAGGAAGTATTTGTGTTCAAAGTTATAAAGTTGTAGAGACAGAAATTGTTCTGGAAGCAGTGAAGAGATGGCTCTAATTGAATAAAGCATCCATGTTGTATACTAGTGAAAGGGAAATGAGAAAGCCAAAGACATGAGGCAGCAGAAGTCACAAAGTATTACAATAGACACCAAGAGATAGAGAGGAAAGAGAAGTCAGTTGTACCAAAGGCTACGGAAGCAAGGGGAGAAGCTGTCACCTTAAGGATAGGGCCACAAATGCCCCAGGAACCCAACAAAATAACTGGATTGCCACAGTCTTGGTGTGTTTTGCTTTTAAAGGAGATAGTAGGCCTCCATGAAATAGGTCTCTGCTTTTTTACTTCCTGTGTATCTTCATAATACTCTTCTAAAAATCCTGTTTTTGTTCTTCTCAACTTGAAAGAGCCCAGCTCATGCAAGGAATTTGGCCTCATATCTGGGTTTGATCCCACTCTTCCAGTTAACTAACTGTAACATTGGGCAGGGCATTTAATCCGTGTCTTGATTTTTCTCACCTATAAAGTAAGAATATCTGATTGGAAAAGGTGTTATAAAGATTAGATGACAGACATAATGTATACAAAGTATTTCATCCAGAACTTAAATGCTCAATAAATGGTAGTCGTTGTTAGAAATAATCATCATTACACTGATGATTATTACTCCTAGGAATAGAATACTGGGAGTAAAAAGAAAGATGAATCCAAGAACTATTTCACAGAAAGAGTTAGAAGAACCTGATAGTTTAGCTCTCAAATAGTCAAGGAAACAGATTAGTCAAATATAATTATAAGAGTTTTAGCCTCAGACTAGGGTTAGGGTAGTGTCACTGCCAAAAACAATGAAGTTAAAAGTGAGCAGTTTAAAGAAGATGTGCTTGCTTTTGCACACATTTGGGTGTGAGGCAACAGCAGGCATCTGGAAGTGATGTCGTGTAGGCAGTGGAAAGAGGTGACAGGGCCGGGCACGGTGGTTCACGCCTGTAATCCTAGCACTCTGGGAGACCCAGCTGGGAGGATCACTCAAGGTCAGGAGTTCGAAACCAGCCTGAGCAAGAGCGAGACCCCATCTCTACTAAAAATAGAAAGAAATTAATTGGCCAACTAAAAATATATAGAAAAAATTAGCCAGGTATGGTGGTGCATGCCTGTAGTCCCAGCTACTCAGGAGGCTGAGGCAGAAGGATCACTCAAGCCCAGGAGTTTGAGGTTGCTGTGATCTAGGCTAACGCCACAGCACTCTAGCCTGGGCTACAGAGTGAGACTCTGTCTCAAAAAAAAAAAAAAAAGAAAAAGAAAGAAAGAAAGAGATGACAGCATCTGATTCCTACATTAATTTAAAAACTGAGCATCTAGTGTCCTGAATATGATGTGGGAAAAATAAAGATGAATACAACACCCACCTTGTTCTCAAGGACCCTATAATGATGGGAGAAGCAAATATAAACCAGATTGAAACAAATACTGTGATAAGCATACAAAATAAGAATATGCAGAGGAAGGAGTGATTAACACACCACTTGTGAGGTACAAAGGGCTTTATGGAGGGCTCAACATTTTAAATGAGCCTTGAAGACAGTATAATTTTGAAAGAGAAGGAAAGAGCATGCAGTTGAAGAAGAAATGCAGAAGTACATTGTATGACTTGGGAAAATCAAGTAGCTTTAGCTCTATTTATAGGATTTGTAAGGGATGCAGTGGGATATGATGCAAGAAAAGTAAGTTAGGCTCAAAAGAAAACAAATCAGTATGTTATGAATTACACACTCTGCCAGAAGTTTTCATATTTGTTGTTTCATTTAATTTCCATATAGTCATACAAAATAGGTGTTTTGACAGAGAGGAAAACAACTTCAGAGACGTTGACTAATTTGTTCAAAGTCTCACAGATAATAAGTAATGGAGCTGAAATTTGAAGCCATGTTGTTTAACTCCAAAGCCGAGGATATTTTCAATTGGTAATGCTAAATAAATAAAGAAAAAAGTTATATTCATTATAGCACTTAAAAAATATCAAGCACTTTCAAATGTATTTGGTCTTTATAACTAGTCATTAATCTCTTTTTATATATGGGAAAAACAAAACTCAGGTTATTCAAGTTCACAGATTGAGAATGTGGCAAATTGGGAATACAACCCAAGCTTTCTAACTACAAAGTTTTAAATCTTTCCAACATGCTTTTAAGAAGTCTAGAATTTCTTCTGTAGGCAGTGGAAAGAGCCAGTGAACATTTTTGAGAAAGGGGATGACATAAAAAACACTGTTTAAAAAGCTTAGTCTGGGATAGCATGTGGGATGGTCTGGAATGGAGACAAGGACACTAGTTATTAGGCAATTATAAAAATAAATGAATAATGATGTAGACCTGGGCTGGGCACAGTGGCTCGAGCCTGTAATCCGAGGCAGGAGGCTCGCTTAAGGTCAGGGTTTCAAGACCAGCCTGAGCAAGAGCAACCCCATCTCTAATAAAAATAGAAAAAATTAGCCAGGCGTTATGGTATATGCCTATAGTCCCAGCTATTTGGGACGCTGAGGCAGGAGGTTCACTTAAGCCCAGAAGTTTGAGGTTGCTGTGAGCTAGGCTGACCCCATGGCACTCTAGCCAAGGCAACAGAGCAAAGCTCTGTCTCAAAAAGAAAATATTATGTACACCAAAGTTCAGTGATAATAAGATAGAGGGAACAAATCAGAGGCATTTGGAAAAAGAATTTACAGGATTTAGCTCTTGATTACATCTGCAGTGAGATAGGAGGACTGTACCTAAATAATAATGGGGGGAAATGATAGCTAAGAAGAAGTAGATTTGCATGTAGAAAAAGAAATAGCCATCCAAATGGCTATATCCCTTGAGAGTTGAAGAGTGGAGATGTGGGAGTCATCTGCAGAGGAGGGTTCCTTGAAGCTGGGCATTAAGAACCACAGAGCCAGTGAGTGTCTAGTTTGCTTATCCCTGCATCTTCAGGGCCAGCACAGTACCTGGCACATGGTAGGCACTTGGTAAATATTTGTTAATTTTGAAAGTGGATGAAAACCTTTAAGAATGGTAGAGAAAAAAAAGAAGTAGTCGTCCAAAGATGGAAATCAAAAAGAATAAACTATATCAGGAAAGACCTGATAGCAACCAAGAAGCATAATATAAAGAAAGTTACAGTGAGAAAGTTGCAAGAGTGTGAGATGCCACAGAGAGAAATTGTTGGAAGGGGATCAAAGATAGTGTCACATAGTAAAAGGTCAAGAGGATGGAGGGAAGTCAACATGCAAAGAATTAAAGAGAAGAATGAAGGGAAGAACTGGAGCTAAGCAGCAGACAGTACTCTTTCAAAAAGTTTGGTGGTGAAGGAAAAAGGAGCAATGAGAAAACAGCTTGAGGAAGAAGCAGGGTAAAGGAAGAATTGCAGAGTCTGGCAGTGGTTCCCAACGTTTTTGACTGGTTTCGTGGAAGACAATATTTCCACAGATGGAGGCGGGGGCCACAGGGAGTGGGGGGAGAGCTCAGGTGGTGATGAACAGCCCCGTTTTCCTAACAGGCCACAGACTGGTACCAGCTGTAGCCTGGAGGTTAGGGACCACAGGGCTAGAGGACAAGTATAATTCAAGGGAAAGGAGCCAGTGGAGAGGAGTGGATTAAAAATACAAGCAAAGTGAGGTTTTAAGGAAATGGAGTAGGATGAGATTTAAAAAGCACAGATGGAGTAATTGGGATTAGATATACAGACCTGAGCATATTTCACAGAGAGGAGAGGTTGAAGCCAAGATTATAGATGAGTGATTACAGACAGTGATTGCAAAGGGAGATAAGCCGAAGACTAAGGAAATCTTTAGAGAATGACCACCAGCAAGGACAGAGGAGTGGTCAGAGAAATAGCAGGAGAAGTTGTATAAATTCACCATCACATACACCAATACACAACCGACCATGTGTGAAAAAAGTAAGAAGTAAAATGTAAGAAGCCAAAAGTGTCAAGTGTTGCAGAGAAGAGAATGAGAACTGGGAGTAAAAGGGGCTCATCCAGTGTTATTGATGCAAGTAGTTCATGAACATAAACCTTGGAATTCTTTCTTTTGTTTATTCAGTTAAAATTGATAATTTCCCATGGGTCAACTATGCAACTAACTGAGAAATCTTGAGGTGAATAACAAATCCCTTTATCTATAGAGGATAAATTAAAAATGTGATGCAAATAAATTTTCTTTCAAATGATGTGAATTTTGAATCTAATTCAGTCCCTCTAATTCTGTTTAAAAAGCACTTGAAGCAGATGGACATAGAAAGCCTACTTCTGTAAATATGTTTATTTATTCATTTATGCATTGCTTTTATTCAATAAATGTTTATTGGCTGTCTGCCATATACTTTGCTAGGTACTGGAAATGTTGGGGAATATAACAATAAACAAGAAAGACAATGTTTATTGCCTATAGAAGTGATATCAAAGGAAGAAAAAAATTATATTAGTCACATTGTTGGTAATAGAAAAAAATTTAACTTTTTAAAACACTTGAGAAATTATTAATTATAGTAAATCTATTTGAAAAGTATTATGTAACCATTAAAATACTTCTGAAGATTATGCATGAATATGGTATTTTTCCTCTAACATGAATACAAAATACAACATTTTTGTTATTAGAATACATGAAAATACATATGACTACATGGATAAAGGCTCAATAGAAATGCAAAATTTAACATAGGTGTGCTGGAATAAAGAGATTATTAGGCTGGGCGCAGTGGCTCACACCTGTAATCCTAGCAGTCTGGGAGGCTGAGGCAGGAGGATTGCTTGAGGTCAGGAATTTGAAACCAACCTGAGCAAGAGCAAGACCTCATCTCTACTATAAATAGAAAGAAATTAATTGGCCAACTAATATATATATATAGAAAAAATTAGCCGGGCATGGTGGCACATGCCTATAGTCCCAGCTACTCGTGAGGCTGAGGCAGTAGGATTGCTTGAGCCCAGGAGTTTGTGGTTGTTGTGAGCTAGACTGACACCACGGCACTCACTCTAGCCTGGACAACAAAGAAAGACTCTGTCTCAAAAAATAAAAATGAATAAATAAATAAAATAAGAGATTATTGATGATTTTACTTTTGATTTTTCCTTAAATTTTTTTAAAACGTCTTATACTCATCTTAAAACATTAACAAGTATTGAGAAATATTATTTCTACTGATTTATAAGTGTATTCATTCTTCACATTCACAATGAGACTTTTAAAAGCAATCTTTGAGCCAAGCATGGTGGCTCACACTTGTAATCCTAGCACTTTGGGGAGGCCGAGGCAGGAGGATTGCTTGAGGCCAGGAGTTCGAGACCAGCCTGAGCAAGAGTGAGACCCTGTCTCTACAAAAAATAGAGAAATTAGCTGGGCGTGGTGGCATGTGCCCATAGTCCCAGCTACTCAGGAGGCTGAGGCAGGAAGATCACTTGAACCCAGGAGTTGGAGGTTGCAATGAGCTATGATGACAACACTCTAGCCTGGGTAACAGAGCAAGACCTTTTAAAAAAAAAAAAAAAAAAAAAAGCAATCCTTTAAACTCTTTATCTAGCAAAGCTCTCAAGCTCTCCTCAGGTAAAAATCTAACCCACAGATATTGTACCAGTTATTTATTGCCACAAAAACACTGTCCAAGAAGCCAGCCACTCCAAAGGTCAGTGGATTAAAACAATAACCATGTTAGGAGTCTATGCATTAGTCGGGCAGCTCTTCTGGAATTATTTTCTGAGTCAGCTGTGGGTTGGGTAGGTGACTATGCTGATTTTGGCTGTATTTTCAAATGTTTGAGGACCAGCTAGCTGTCATCAGATCTAAAAGGCATTGGCCGTTTTTCATTGTCTCTCACAATCCTCCAGCAGGTAAGCTTGAGCATGTTCTCATGATGAATCAGAAACTGTTTACTCATTTATCTATTTAGTTAATGGATCTCCTGTGTGCTAGGTACTGTAATAAGGAACTGGAGAAATAAAGTCAAATGGGAAATTGCCCTTACTATTGAGGAGCTTGCCTTTTAATGAGAGAGACAGCCAAGTAAACCAAGGATTACACAGTACAGTATGATAAGTCCCATGATTGTGGAGCAACAGGCTCTATGGGCACAGTGGAAGACTCCAAATCAAAGCAAGTAAGTATGGGGTAACAATGAGAAATATTTTAGAAGAGGTATCCTTGAGCAAGGTTTCAGCAAGAAGAGGAAGGGAATTTCATGCAGGGGAACAGTAAAGGCTCAATGAGTCTAGACATCATGGCATTCTTGGCAAATTGCCCAATTTTTTGGATATTTGGATATTTTGGTGGAGGGTGTATAATAAGGAAAGGAACATCTGAAGGAGCAGTATGGGAGAAAACTATTCAGGGAAGTGTAGTAGTTAATGATCTGGTTGCAAATATTATTAGCAATTCCAGCTAGTTAAGCTGACTTTAGTGAAAGAATACTTGAGTATCTCATATAATCTTGGGAATTGCTGAATAACCAGGGAAACTGTGGAACTCAGGAGTAGGAATCCATAAACCATCTTCCTGGTGGGCTATAAACAACCCTCCATCTCTAGTTGTCTCATTTCATAATTCTAGTTTCCCAGGAAAGCTAGCCTGTTTGGCTAGTTTGGGTCTTATTTCTACCCCCATGTCACTCAGCCATGACTAGTCTGCAAGTGATGCTTGTAGATATTTTCTACTCTTCCACCCTTATGCTGGAGAGAGAGATATCACTGTGAGCTGCGTGGCTGACCTACCTAAGAGGTATCTGTTGTGTCTTATTACTTGGTTGCCTTTCCCCATCTATACAATGAGAAAAATGCTTCCAAACTATTTGATCCAGCCATTCTAGTACAACTCCTGCACTTGCCTTCTTGCTAAACCCAAAGGCACATCCAACTGGTAGAAGGAACATCTTGAGGTTATTGTTCTTCTAATACTGATCTCTGGAAGTAAAATGCCAATTCTTCTTCTAGTTCTGGC